TCCAAGCATAAGTTTCAAAAAACATTTGCGTGACAAAGAAAGGCACCAAGAATAACAGTAACAAAGTTTCCTGTTACGAATCAGTGTAACCCAGCAAATTTATTGCTCCAGAAATTAACTGAGTCAGAAATACCGAGATGACAGCTTTCTTTTATATGACTGTTATCATCGCACGACGAAAAAAAAACACAGTGTCAGTGTGCCATACCTCATTCATTTACCATACCTCCAAATTAATTTTAGGAAATAACTATTCTAAGCCAGTGCTTGACTACAATCCAACTTGATGGTAAGTGATGATGCAGCTAAAGGTGGTAAAGAAATTTATTGTTCTTAAAGTACACTGGCTTAGTTGAACAATTTTTTTTACTCTTATGCAGTAAGTAACAAACAACCCGTTAGTTACTTTAGGAACGTGTCGATTTACATATTATTAGCATGGAAATTATGACAGTGATTTTTTTGGGTTTTTATTAAAGGGATTTTAGTGTTCACAATAGGTAACTAAGTATTCAGTTTACGTAAACACTACACATTTAAATAAAACTAGCTTTTACGGATTTTAACGCGGACATTATGTTATATTCTCGAGGTATTGAGCACTTAACACCACTCATGGTCACGAGTCGGGGTTACCGTCTCCCCCAATAATCAAAAGGAAATGTAGTATAAAATAAAATAGTATATCTCTATAAGCCACAAAATCCCTTTACCATGACGCCAGTGTTGAGCTTATTAAATATATTTTTTGTGCATAGGACAATTCAGAGCATGCTTCAGCTATATATTATTACAGCCATGGTGGCTCAGATGGTTAGCGCTCGCAGTAAGTTTCACAGTACGCTAGCAGGCCGAGTTTGATTCCCGCCAGCACCAATGAAATTGTTAATTGCAATTTTAAGTTCTGATTTACCACGAGCTCGGCGGTGAAGGAAAACATCGCGAGGAAACCTGCATGTCTGAGAAATAAGAAAAAAAGTATTACGAAGACATATGAAGTCGCCAACACGCATTGGGGCTGCTTGGCTGACATTTCCTTGCCCTAAAACCCTCTCAAAAATGAAAGGAAGCCTGTGCTCAGCAATGGGACGTAAATAGGCTGTAACTTTAACTTTTTTTTTAAGTTTAGGTATATTTTAATAGAACGCACAAAGTTATTATCAATGATAAAAATTCTTCCGGGTCATCTGTACTAATGGGTTTCCTTCAAGGATCAATTCTCGGCTCATTCCTATTCCTAAACTATATTAATGACGTACCTTCCCCTGTAGCGTACAATCATGATATGGCATTATTTGCTCATGATACTTCCTTGATTTTAAAACTTAAACCTCTCTCATTTAAATATGACGAATTGAATAATGTTATATCAAAGTTAGTGCTAAATCAATGCACTAATTTTGATATAGCATGATTCATTTCAATAATAATATACATTTAGAGGCCATTAAAACTAAAGTACTGTATGTAAAAATCTGAATATCAATGTGTCTTTAAATGGGGAGGAATTGAACCCTGTTGGACATATTGTTTTTCTTGGCATAACTCTCGATACAAAGCTTTAGTGGAGCCCTCAAATACCTATACTAGAGAGCAGACTAAGCTTTGCAGCTTATTATTTAAAAATGATTAGAGGTTTCACTACAGTCGAAACAACTTTTATTAGATTATTTCCGTTATTTCCATAGCATAATATCTGTTTAGGCAAAAATATTAAACATTTGAAACGCGAATTTTAAACGTACGTTAGAAGCGTAGCATCGATTGCAAGATCACCCGCTCCCCGTCCGGTCGCATTCCACGGACTTCTCGAGAAGCATTGTAAAGTTTTTGGCGATCTAGACTGACGTCTTAGTGATTAGCGCCTAATTTGTTACGAACGTATAGAACCCGCTTAAATCGTTGCGTCGACGAGAACACGTATTGATCTTAGGACTTATTAATGTTTGTTAAATTAATTGTGCAACTCCGATAGTGATTTTCCTTTGAAGTTCTTCGTTTGACTGTACCATTACGTGACAAACGGAAAGAGTGCCTCAAGAAGGGAATAGTTCCGGGGCTACCGGCGGATACCTTCTCCAGGACAGTATTGTGTCATCTAGCCCAGGCCACTTACACACAGATTCATACAAAGAACACATACATTCACTACACTTCCATCAGCCGGGCAGATCTTGGTGAACCGTCTCCGCTCCAGAAGCAGGTAAGCCTTCCCTTTACTGGCTTTCCCCCTTATTGTTTATTGTAATTAGAGACCTTTCACTTTGGCCTTAGAAGGCCCGACCTGCACCTGCCTGTAGGTTTCTTCTTCATGGGCCAGGAGGATCCTACTATTAGATAGGCAGTTGCACGCCGTATCATTTTGGTAGCAGTAGCGTGGCTGATTGACTTTCAATCACGCCACGGCCGCAACATTAATAATACGTAATAATAAAATTATTTTACTCTCTTTTTTTTTTGTTTGTTAGCGGGTAGATTTGAATGCCACGCCCGTAGGTTAACAAGCGGGAATTTTGTTGAGGCTAAGTACTTGATTAGGTAGATAAGGTTGTAACGTAAATCTTCACGTAAATTACTTGCTAATTTGATTTGTGTTTTTTTCGTGTTAACTTGTATTTAATTTAATAATTTAATAATTGTGTAATTTCTATTTAACTTGATTGATAGGAACTGTATTTGTTATTTGCTAATTGATTTATATTTGAGCCGCGTAGTAATTGTATTTAGTAGGGATGCCGTCACACAACCTACTAAATTCGTTGCTTGCGGACTGAGCTGCGCTGGGCTACCAGCGCACACGCCTTGATAGGTCGACCGGATAGGGTTTATAACATGAGGAAGAGGCTCGAGCAGGTCGATGCTCGAAGGGCTGCCGTGGAGGAGGCTTACGCTGAGCTCGAGGACTCGGAGGTGGAAAAGGGAGTCCTGGACTCCTGCCGCGCGGACTACGAGCAGTTCCTCGCGCTCACGGACGACTTGATCGAGGCGGGGGCCAAGGACGCGGAGAAGGAGCGCGAAGCTCGGCTGAGTGGCCTGCTCGAGTCCCCTCGGAAGCCGCCCACTCAGCCAGAGCTGTTAGGACGACTCCCTACGCTGGACCTGCCAAGGTTCTCCGGGGTCCTCTCGGAATGGCTGACCTTCGTCGGTATGTTTGACAGCCTGGTGGATGCCCGGAGGGACTTGACCCCTACCAAAAAATGGGGTACCTCCTGGCATCACGTGAGGGGGAGGCCCTGGGCGTCGTCGGCCACCTTAAGTTGTCGGACGACGCCTACCAAAACGCCAGGGACCTCCTCGCTGGAAGGTACTCCAACGTCCGGCGGATTGCTGACGAGCATATTCGGAGATTGCTGAACCTCTCGTTGCGGCGGCTGGATTTACCGGTGGACGAGTGGTCTTTTCTTTTACTCCATATCGTGCTGTCCTGCCTGCCCCTCGACCTTCGGCTCCATTTTGAGGAGAGGTACGGAGGGGATGGCGCCTCGTACATTCCCCCTTTAGGGACCTGCTGCGGTTCCTGGAGGAGCATTCCCTCCACCATCCCATGGTCCTTCCCGCCTTGCGGCATACGGACCGAATCACGGGAGACGCACACGGTACTTGCTCGGGGCTCTTTCCCGCGTGCGCTTACTTGACTCCCTACAAATCTCTCTGTTCCGTCCCTTTTCTCTACATTTCACTTCTCCCCCTTCTGGGGCGTGACTCTACAGCGACGACACTTCGCGTTCGCAGCTATCTGGTCGTATTTTTCAGTCCTTATACTGTTTCCTTTTGTGATGCCATGCATGCGCAAATCTCCTAAACTCCTTAAAGTTGGATTCGCAGCACACTAGGTCCCGGAAGTATACTGGTCCTATTTCTGTTCTTTGTAGGCTGTCCAATAATGCGTTCCTCTCTTCAATATACAGATCGCAATCCCAGAGAGCATGGTCACGACTCTCCAGTACTGAGCCGCAGGGGCATAAGCCAGAGTTCCTAAGGTTGAATTTTAGGAGACACTCGTTGAAACACCCGTGACCAACAAGAATCTGCGATACTGCATAATCGGGCTCGACCCACCTGAAGATTAGACGCTCTGCGATGTCCGGGAAAAACTTGTACAGATCCCTGCCATCTTGGCTTGAATCCCACCGGTCCTGCCAAATGGCAACGACAGCCGCCATCATCTCCCTCTTTTTCTTCCTGCACTCCTTATCGACCAAACCCGTCCCCTCCTCGTCGACTCGTCCCGCACGAAAAACTTCCAGGTCGGCAGGCAATACGCCCGCCAACACCGGTAGCGCTGCCTTGCTAGCCGTCCTGTAAGCCTTCGTGAGAAGAATCAAAGCTGGTCTTTGCGTCCTCATCAGTACGCTTCTGATAACATAAAGGGACGAGCGTTGGTACCATACGGCAGCAGAATATGTAAACGTTGTCACATAGGTCCCTGAATACAGGACTCTAAGGACGTGAAATCTTATGCCCCAGGTCGATGAAGACAATCGCGACATCTTCCCGAAGCAAGCGGCGGCCTTCTCGCCGATATATAATGCATGCTGCACATAGGACCTAGCCTCGTCCAAAATTATTCCTAGGGCTCTTGCCTGTGAAACACTCGTGATCGTTGCACCGTCCATCTTTATAATTGGTCCACGTTTAAACTTGCCCTTATAGGTCATCGTTTGTGACTTCCCGGTAGAAAACCCTAGTCTGTTACGAATACCCCACTCGGACACGGCAGCGATCGTAGCTGCCGCTTTGCGCTCTATTGCGGAACGAGACGATGCTTCGACCACGATCTTCACATCGTCGGCGTAAGTAACGAAGTGTACTCCTTCGGGTTTTGGCAGCTTCAGGAGGTCATCGAGTAGGAGGTTCCATAGGGTTGGCCCCAGCACCGATCCCTGAGGACAGCCCATCGTGGAGACCTTCCACACTACCCGGTTTCCAGCAAACAGTCCTACACGGCGATTTATGAAGTAACTCGTTAAAATACGGTAAATATTAGGTGGAACGCCACATTATTTTGCCTTGAGTAGGACCATTGGCCACCAGGCATTGTCAAAGGCTCCAGATATGTCCAGAAGGATCAGTTGCACGTAATTCTCGGTTGATCCGTTGGTAATTCGGTTGATGGTATTAAGGGCGGTCACTGTGGATCGGCCACGCGTGAAGCCATGTTGTGCATCGGAGATTCCGCGGTAGAGACATGGAGCGCAGGAGATGTTCACACGCTCCAGAATTTTTCCCAATATGGGCACCAAAAATATGGGACGGTAGGCTTTAGGGTCAGTGAGCGGCCTGTCGCCACCCTTTGGCAGAACAACGAGTTTGCCCATCTTCCACAGATCCGGAAAAACGCCCTCGACTATGCACGCCCTAAACATGTGCCAGATCTTGTCAACAGTTACCCGCCATGCCTGTCTAACAATCTTAGCCGTGATTCCGTCAATGCCGGGTGCAGTGTTCGTCTCCTGGAGGAGCAGTGTAGGCAGTTAAGAGAACGAAGCAGGCGCCGTCGGCCCCCCGGCCGCCGCCCGCGCGGTGCCCAGGGAGAGGCGGAATCAGACGGCCAAGGCGTCGCGCACCCCCATGAGGCCGAGCGGAACTCCCGCGGGAGGGCGCTCCCCCCTACCCTCCTATAGTGGCCTAGTGGCCCGAGAGGCGCTTCCCTGCTCCTATTGTCGAACATCCGAACACTGGGCGACGTCATACCCTAAGTTGTTGCGCAAGCCGGCTCCGGCGAGGCGAACCATCGCCAGGGAGCGCCGCTGGTGCTACTCGTGCCTAGAGAGGCATTTACAACGAGACTGCCAGCACCAGCGGCCCTGCACGCACTGCCAGGGCAACCACCACATCATGTTGTGCCTGAGTGCGCGCGGCGTGTCCTCTCCGGGCCCTGCCAGCCCCCCGTCTCCCACGGGCGGGGGCGCTCCGCTACTTTCCCTGTCGGGCGACGCTCGGCGCTCGCCGGTTGACCACAGCGCCCCTCGTTCTGAGGGGAGTCCCTCCCCCGACCGGTCGGGGAGTCGTTCCCCCAGGGGCGGGGGGCTTCACTCCCCTCAGCGGGTTGAGAGTGGATTCGCAGCCACTCAGCGGTCTGCTAGACCGTTCTCATCCCCGTTGGCTGAGTGGCCGCGACTGGAACGCCGCCCTTTGGTCGGTGCCGGTATAACCGGGTTCCGGAGACTGCGCGTCGGCCCCGGGCCTCGGAACCGAGGATCCCCGAATTTCTCCAGGTCGGCCCGTTCGGGGAATTCCAGTTGAGGGACATCGGGACGCCGTCGGAGTGCCGCTCTCGGGGCCCCCGGTTCAGGTGCCGGTCCGACAGAGGCAGCTCCAGATAGGAGGCTGCCGCCCTAGCTCCCGCCATGGCCGCCTCCACTGAGCCTTTGAGCCGTCAGCAGTCCACCTGTCAAACTTTTCTATTGCCGACGGCCTCAGTGAAGGTGTACAACCCGAGCGGCGACCGCTCAACGGTTCGAGATCTATTTGATTCGGGTTCCCAACGTAGTGTGGCCTCCACTTGGTTGGTGGGAAGACTGGGGCTCCCCTGGCGCTCTGAATCACGTCCGATGGTAGGGATCGGAGGTGCCGAGCCTCCTGCTCCTAGGGGACAAGCGGAGTTGGTGTTCAGCCTTGCCAGCGAACACTTTCGCAGTTTAGTCAAGGTAAATGTCCTCGTATGATGACATTGTAGGGTTTCTCCCTAACGTTCGTATAAATGACAGCGCGGTTCGCTGTGCGTCGGGTTTGAGACCGGTAGACCCTCGGTGGGCCCAACCTGGTCTTAAAGATTTCTTACTGGGGGTCGACACGCCGGGGGTCATCTTGTTAGGTGAGATACGAGCTCTACAGCCCGATGGCCTGTCAGCCATGTCCACGATATTTGGGCACAGCTTCTTTGGACCGGTTATGTGGTCTCCTCCCCCTCCGACGGCCGACTCGCTCTCCGTTGTGGGCGTGTCCCTTTCGGACGCCGTCCAGCGGTTCTGGGAAATTGAGGAACTACCACATGCGGCTCGAATCAACCCTCTGGACCGTGAGTGCGAGTTGTTCTTCCAGAACAATACCGGCTGTCGGGTCGACGGTCGTTTCGTCACTCGCTTACCCTTTCTAGACTCACGTCCTTCTTTGGGCCAATCTCGTGCACTAGCCGAGATGAGATTGCTTTCCATGGAGCGCCGCATACGGCGCGACCCAGCCATTCGCGACAAATATGTCGAGTTCATGCGCGAGTATCAAGAGCTGGGTCACATGTCACCGTCCAACTTCGAATGGCGTTCATAGGAGCACTACTTCCTCCCTCACCATGCGGTCTTGAGGAACCCTGAGAGTAAGATTCGGGTAGTTTTTGACGGTTCCGCCCCACATCAAATGGTGTGTCCCTGAACCAGTGTCTTCACTCTGGTCCTAAACTGATCAAGGACATAATATCCGACATCTTGACCCAATTCCGTCGACACCACGTGGTTTTTGTAGCGGACATTCGGAAGATGTTTCGACAATCAGTGGTCCATCGTGATGACCGTCGATATCAGCTGATATTGTGGCGCGGGAAGCCCAGCGATCCTATACAGGTGTTTGAGTTGAACAGCACCACATACGGACTCCGGTCCAGCCCGTATATCGCTATGCGAACCCTCCTTGAACTCGCTGAGAGAGAGAGCGCCTGAGATACGCTCGGGGAGCTTCTATTTTGGAGACTTCGGTCTACATGGACGACATTTGTACGGGTGCCTCCACCGTTGAGGAGGCTCTGGTCTTGCGAGACGAATTAATTGCCATCCTGAAGTCCGGAGGTTATGAGTTGCGCAAGTGGTTGTCGAATTCCCCTCATATTTTGAAGGACCTCCCAGGAGAGGACCAACAAGACCCTCATCTGTTCGAGCACCCTGAGAATCTTAATTTGTTGACTGTGCTGGGCATTCAATATCAGCCTGTTCAGGACACCTTCACGTATAGAGTAAAACTTGACCCATCTCCCAAAGCATGGACCAAACGCTCCGTGCTGTCTACCGTAGCCCGCACCTTCGACCCTAATGGATGGATCACCCCGGTCATCTTTTTGGCTAAGTGCTTTCTTCAAAAGCTCTGGATGTCCGGGTTGGGTTGGGACGAGCCTATTAGCGGAGTCCTCTTGCGAGAGTGGCTCTCCATGCTCTCCTCTCTTCCGGACATCAACCGGGTTTCCATGCCAAGGTGCTTCCTCCCTCCAGGGAAATGCAGGGCTACCCTACATGGGTTTTGCGACGCCTCTGCTGCCGTATATTTGCGGACTGTGTGTTCTTCTGGTCATACTGCCGTCCATCTCGTACTCGCTAAAAGCAAGGTTACTCCCATTAGGTCCTGCTTAACTATCCCTAAATTGGAACTGTCCGGTGCCGCTCTTCTCACGCGACTCCTTAACCATGATCACTCGTCCTTGAAGCCTGTAATCGACATTACGGACGTCTACGCATGGTCGGACAGTGAGATAGTACTTTGTTGGCTCCGAGCTGCACCTCACAATCTTGAGGTCTTTGTGGCGAACCGCGTGTCTCAAATCCAGAGTTCTGAGACTTCTCTCAACTGGAGATATGTCCCAGGGGAGTTGAATCTCACAGACTGCGCTTCTCGTGGCTGTGAAGCCCCCTCGCTGGTTGACCACCCACTGTGGTGGGGTCCCGGTTGGTTATCTGAGCCTCAGTCATTCTGGCCCCCGGGTAATTACTCCGAACCTACCGAATTGCCGGGCCTACGATCCCGAGTAGGAGTGAGCAAGGATAAGCCCCTTCGGGATCTCTCTCTTCTGGAGCGGTACAGCTCTCTCTATAAGCTCTAAGGAGTGACTGCCTGGTTGCGCCGATTTGTCCGCAATTCGAGAGACCCGTCCAACCGACTCTCTGATTGCGTTTTGTCCCCTAGCAAGCGTCGTGAAGCTTTGATGGATTGGACCCGTTTGGTCCAAACGGAGCATTTTGAGCCCGTTATTGAAAACTTGAAGCGTGGCTCCGTTATCAAGGGCGCCCTGGCCCGCCTGAACCTCTTTCTGGACGATGCTGGGATGCTGCTCGTTGGCGGACGTTTGAAAAATTCTCAACTGCCGTATAGGGCTCGGCACCCGTTGCTGCTCCCTAAGGACGGCGCCCTTGTCCGGTTGCTGGTAGCCCACCACCATGTTAAGAATGCCCACGCTGGGTCTAACGCTCTTGCGGCTATTTTGCAGCGGGAGTTTTGGATTTTGGCGGGCCGACGCACCATTTGGATCGTCATCATTAAGTGCATATCCTGTTATAAACTGAATGCCACCATATCGCAGCCTCTGATGGGTGACTTGCCGCCCGACCGCGTCCGGGCCATCTGACCATTCGCTGGAGTCGGAACAGACTTTGCTGGCCCCTTCCTTGTCAAGTCCTCTAACCTTCGTAACGCGCGTTCGCATAAGGCCTATCTTTGCGTCTTCGTGTGCCTCTTCACTAAGGCCGTTCACTTGGAACTTGTAAGCGCCCTCAGCACGGAAATCTTCGTGGCCACGCTTGGCCGTTTCGTATCGCGGAGCGGTTTGACGGACTTGATCCGGTCGGATTTCGGAACGAATTATAAGGGCACGGATAGGTATCTAAAAGAGGTCGTCGAATTTCTGTCCAGCCACCAGACTTATTTAGGCAATGCTATGTCAAAATAGGGCATCCAGTGGAAATTCGACCCTACGGCGTGTCCCCAATGGGGCGATATTTTCGAGGCGATGGTTAAAGTGGCAAAAACGCATCTTCGTTGCGTTATTGGTGAAACTATTTTGACATTTAAGGAGCTCGCCACTGTATTCTGTAATGTTGAGGCGGTACTCAACTCTCGGCCCCTCTGTCCCCTCTCATCCTACCCGAATGATTTGGAGGTTCTAACCCCGGGACACTTTCTGATTGGCCAACCGCTTAACGCTCTGCCCGAGTACCCCTTCAGGGAAACGAGCGCTTCGCGGCTGAGCAGGTTTGCCCTGCTGCAACAGATGACTCAGATATTTTGACACCGATGGTCTCTGGAGTATCTACATCTTTTGCAGCAGCGCATTTAGTGGTCTGACAAGACGGATCCTCCTCGGGTGGGAGACTTCATGTTGGTTAAAGAACCCAACGCTCTGACTTTGTATTGGCGCCGTGGGCGCATTGTTAAGTTGTCGTATGGAGCGGATGGGGTGCCTAGAGTGGCCGAGGTTTTGGTCGGAGATTCGGTCTTGCAACGTGCCGTCGCGACCTTGTCCCTTTTGCCAATCTACTCGCGGACATAATTCCTTATGTCCGGGGCAGGGATTTGTTTAGGCAAAAATATTAAACATTTGAAACGCGAATTTTAAACGTACGTTAGAAGCGTAGCATCGATTGCAAAGTTACCCGCTCCCCGCCCGGTCGCATTCCACGGACTTCTCGAGAAGCATTGTAAAGTGTTTTGCGATCGAGACTGACGTCTTAGTGATTAGCGCCTAACTTGTTACGAACGTATAGAACCCGCTTAAATCGTTGCGTCGACGAGAACACGTATTGTTCTTAGAACTTATTAATTTTTGTTAAATTAATTGTGCAACTCCGATAGTGATTTTCCTTTGAAGTTCTTCGTTTGGCTGTACCATTACGTGACAAACGGAAAGAGTGCCTCAAGAAAGGAATAGTTCCGGAGCTACCGGCGGATACCTTCTCCAGGACAGTATTGTGTCATCTAGCCCAGGCCACTTACACACAGATTTATACAAAGAACACATACATTCACTACACTTCCATCAGCTGGGCAGATCCTAGTGAACCGTCTCCGCTCCAGAAGCAGGTAAGCCTTCCCTTTACTGGCTTTCCCCCTTATTGTTTATTGTAATTAGAGACCTTTCACTTTGGCCTTAGAAGGCCCGACCTGCACCTGCCTGTAGGTTTCTTCTTCATGGGCCAGGAGGATTCTACTATTAGATAGGCAGTTGCACGCCGTATCATATAGGATTTTGCCATAAGGAAAATCGGCTGATTTAGAAACTAATTTTGTTTTGCAGAAGAGGGCCATACGAGCTATTTACAACCTGAAACGGAGAGTCTCTCAGTGAAAATTTTACAAAAATAAATATAAAAATAACTTTTGCCTCTTAGTGTATTTAATCATCATCATTATCATCATTACTGTCATTCACAAGTCCACTGCTGAAAATAGGTCTCCCCCAAGAAATGCCACAAAGCCCCTGCATCCATCGACTTCCTGCATGTCTAACCAGGCCGTCACTAAATCTAGTCAGGGGACGCCCAACTCCCCACTGCCACTCTAGAAAGTTTCTTCGCCATTGGTTGAAAATTTATTGTCTGTTAACAAAAACATATTAAGTAGTTTTAATAAAAAAGTGATATACACTCTGTTAACACTAGGGACAAACACAATATAGTGATACCGGTTTCTCGATGCAAAGACTCAGTTATGCATTTATGGGGCAATGTATACGCTATTACAACAAAGTCCTAGAAAATTTAAAAGGTTTTTATATTTCATTAATCAAAAACTGTATGAAAAGGTTTCTTATATTATATCGCGAACACTACACATTTAAATAAAACTAGTTTTACGGATTTTATGACGTATATTATCCCATAGTACCATGGGTGCTGTAAAGTACTCGAAACGTGGAGAATATAAAATCAGTTAATATACGCGATAAAATCCGTAAAACTAGTTTTATTTAAATGTATAAAAAGGGTTATTATAATGTAAATGAATACGTGATTGATAGCTCCTGTGAAATAGGTGGTCGCTTCTAAGCTGTTTCTAAAATTAATTTTATAAATAGAAGAGAATAGAATAAAATGTTTTTTATTGAATATTGATTATAAGTAATTACTGAAACTTATTTTAAAAAATTTGATTCTGTTCGAATAAAAACTGTCCTGGGAAAAACCAGCAAAAAACCCAGCGGGACTTTTTTTTAAATAAAGAACATCAGTCAAATACGACCTGACCAAAATATGAAACGACCACGAATGATTGATACTTCAAAAAATAGTGACTTAGGTGTATATTAAATTACAGAGTCCAATTTATTTTATTGGAACAAGTAAATAATTTAGCTTTGTAATGAAAAACCTCATTTTCTTACTAGTTTTATAGGTTTTGAACGCATCTAAACCCGTCCCGTTATTATCTGTGGTACACGTTTCATCATAATTCTAAAGTAACACTACCATTATGCGTTTAATTTTTTAAATACTAGATTTTATTGTAGATTTTTTATTTATTTTTGTAGTGTATTATCAATAATATTTTTAAATGGGAATATGGGAAGTATGGGCCGTGACCGATATTCTTTTACACTATAAATGATAACAAATGATTTACAAAATTTATTTTAGAAACGTCTTGGAAGTGTCCACGTCATTTCCATGGGTTATTATTAACCATGACGAGTCCCCTGGGACCCAAAATAGATTTTACAACCATACATACGAGTATTGTATAATACTTTAAGAAAAGTCCCGCTGGGTTTCTTACTGGTTTTTCCCAGGGCAGAGATTATTTTACGAACCAGTAGTAAAAGTAAAAAATGACTTTCAAAAAGAATTACATGTAATATATATTGAAAAAAAAAATATTTCTCTTCTATTCATCCGATCTTGTTGGTGAGCACACGGTCAGTATACTTGTTGGTCACCTTCACTTCAACCTGTAATTTAAAAATTAAATAAACTAGCTCTCTTCTTGTTAAACAGGTATACATATATAGTATACAAATAGATAAGAAGGTGGGAGCTTCTAGGCAGAAAAGGAGCCGACCTCGTAATAACATAAAAATTGTACACGAATAAATTATTTATTTCCTTTGACTTTATATGACATACATATTAAAAAGAAAATATGCCATCTTTCGAATAACAAATTTTGAAATAAGAAAAAATATGGCAATATTTTCAACAAAAGATAAGAAATAAAAACTCTTCTACGTTCCACTAACAACGCCGACTTGAAAAGTTGCCCAAACCTTGTTACTTGAAGAAGCATCAATATTATGCTAACGTTGCCTTAATCTTTTAGCAACACTATTTTCCTTCGATCAGTTGAACTGAAAAGTTATATATCTAAAAATTAAAAATGGAAGTCCACAGTCCTTGCCTATCCTTCTAGGTGATATGTATGAGTGTTATATAAACACATTAATGATGTGAAAACGTGCTTGTAAGAAGATATTTTTGTCTGGTCTTAACAATTCTCTCCCGGGTTAGTGCCCTGATAAGGATAATTTTAGACACCCTGTTTTTGCGATCAAAGGATTATAATCCCCAAGCTTGAACTTTGATTATACTTGACGTGATTGGTCTTTTCTTTACATCCGGTAATTATGAATATCCGGTATAACATATTATATCTATCAAAATTTAAGGTGTCATATTAAAAAAGTTCCGCTGCCGCTATGTAACACTAAACTATAAGATGTTAATTATGCTGGTATTCTATAAATTAATTTCTATTTTGCAGCGCGCTAAGAAGCCAATAATATTTTACGTTTTTTTTTTACTTTCTAACCGATTCCAAAAAGGAGGAGGTTCTGAAATAGAGTTTTTGTTCTTTTTTGTGTCTGTTACGCGATATCTTCGCAGATAGTGAAATAATTTTGATGATTTTTTTAATAAAAAGGTCATCCTTAAAGATTGGTCTCAAAAAATTTGGAGAGAAAATTTCACCCCTAAGACTAGCAAATAAATAAATAATTTTTAGCAACGGTTTTTACTTTTTGTTAAAGTTATAATTATTAATAAAAATTTTGTTACAATGATTCACATTTATAAATAATGAACAAACGGAAATTATGTCTTATAAATTTAAATAACGAATAAGATAATAAGTAGAATCAGGCGTAACTTTGCGGAAATTAATTAAATATATTAAAAATGTATTACCTAAGATCCAATTAGTTAAATAAAATTATGTGTCGCACCTAGATTGAAGAGCGCCTCCCGTCCTCTCTCAATTACGTGCACTATTCTCGTTACCACTAATCCCAACACAACTACTCCCAATAACACAACACTAGAAAAGACAAGCCACCGTATTTTAATAAACAACAAACGAACCTGGTGGTAAGGGGTAACTGCAACGAAATCAAATAAGGCATTCTACATTTGCGTAGTCACACTCTTAAGCAATGTCACCTTTAAGAAATACTAAAGTCGAATGTCCTACAGCTTATAAATATACTGGTTCTCTGTTTTCCCTTTAGTTTATTTGTTCTATCTTTAGCGGATAGATGGTGTAAATTAAATGCCCAGATACTTAATAAATTAATATAATTAAAAAAAGGATGTGAATTGCACAATGATCGTAGGTCAAATGACATGAGTAGACAGATTTGTTTGAAGAATTTTCAAGTGCCTGGTGCGGGTGACGGCAATGTTCCCGCGATGGTGTTTTGGCGTAATATTTGCGCAGGCGTTAAGTCTAAACATCCTCCCGGCCGTTCAAAGATCACTTTCAACCTTGAAGTTCCTCGGCTGTCGGCAGATTGCACAGCCTTACTAGAGATCGGCGTACACAGCCTTTATTAGTGGTGATGTCTGCCACTCTCGCTGTTCCATCGGATCCCGTGATGAGGCGAAGTACTCTCCCGAGCTTCCAAGAGAGTGGAGAAGCATTGTCATCTGCCAAGATTACCATATCTCCTATGTCCAGCTTTGATGTACTGCCTTTCCATTTTGTTCTCCGCTGCATCTCAGACAGATATTCACGCTGCCACCTTTGCCAGAAGTGTTGCTGCATTTTTTCTAAGCGTTCATAGCGTTGAAGTTTACTGTCTTTAGAGTCACCCAGATGTTGCGACGGTGGAGCAGTTAACGCTCTCCCGATCAGGAAGTGTCCTGGGGAAAGGGAAAGGAGATCATTAGGAGAGGATGATAGGGGGCACAATGGACGGCTGTTCAAAATCGCCTCCACCTGTGAAAACAAAGTATTGAGTTCCTCAAAAGTGAGGTGGCTACTGCCAACGACGCGTTTTAAGTGGAATTTTGCCGATTTAACGCCGGCTTCCCATATACCAATGAGGAGAGTAAGCCGGAATAAACTTAAACTGGATAGAATTTTGACTTGCAAAATCAAATAGAGAGTTTTGATTTTGCTTGATAAATGATCCTAACTCCCTTGCGGCTACTACGAAGTGTGTTCCGTTATCACAAAATATTTCCGTTGGTTTGCCTCTGCGCGCTACAAAACGCCGAAGTGGCATTATGAATGCATCCTTAGTTAAATCACTCACAGCTTCGAGATGGATGCATTTATAACGCAGACAAACGAACAAACACATGTAGCATTTCATTAAACGACTTCCACGGCCTTTACAATTTACGATCGTGAACGGTCCCGCGAAGTTCAGACCCACTGACAAAAACGGATGACCTGGGGTTATACGTTAGATTGGTAGATTACCCATTTTAGGTTACAACGTTTCACCGCGTACACGTCTACACCGAACACAGTTATTAAATGTCCGCCATGCGAGATGTCGTCCGTTTACTGGCCACACTGTTTCCCTTACAATAGATAATAACAGTAAAGTACCCGTGTGCATATTGTTGACGTGTTCTCTTTCAAAGTGCAGTCTTGTTAACATGTGCGAGGCATGAAGTAAAATGGGGTGCCTTTTCTCACATGAATAATAATTAGCCGCATCCAACCGACCTCCAACTCGTATTTTTTATTATTTAAGAACGGAGACAAACTTAAAATTTTGCTTTTATTACTTAAAGGTTTATTTTTAGTTAGCAGATCGTATTCAGTTGTGAAGGATTGAGTTTGAGCGATAATACATAATGAATGCCATGAATCACGTAATTCCTCAACTATAAATAAACCTGCGCGTTTCGCATTGCTATTTCTAGTGTTAAATATGAATCTTTGCACGTAAGCAAATAAACGTTGTAGTTTATTAAGAGAAGAATATCATTCAAAATCTAAAAAAGGTTCACTAATTATTGCAGAGTGCACTTTCAATTCGGGTAAAGGATCAGATTCCTTGGCATTCAATACTGGCCATTTGATTTCATTTTCAAGTAAAAATGTGGCTCCCGACCACCAAAGTGACAACGACATGATGTTTTTTGCATTTATCCCTCTTGAAATGAAATCCGCAGGATTTAAATCGGTTGGAACGTATCTCCATGATAACGGTGAAGCATGCTCCAATATTTCACTAAAACGATTAGCTACAAATGTTTTCAGTCTAGTGATATCACCTTTAATCCAGCCCAGAACCACACTCGAGTCACACCAGTACAAAATCCTTGCGGGCTTGTATCTCAAGGAATCGACTACAGGCTTAGTAAGCTTATTAGCGTGCAAAGCGGCACATAACTCTAATCGTGGAATGCTGGTCGGCTTTAATGGTGCTACTTTAGACTTAGCACATAGTAATTGGACGGTTACGTCACCATTTCTGCTAATTGACTTAATATAAACACATGATCCAAATGCGGACTGAGAAGCGTCGCTAAACGTATGTAATTCTATATATTTAGGAGAATCACATAACACATACCTCAGAATTTGTAAATTAGATAAGAATTTTAAGTTGTCCGTAAATTTAGTCCATTCCTTTTTTATTTCGGAAGGTAATGGTTGATTCCATTCCAGGTTTTCTTTCCATATCCTTTGCAACATCATTTTAGGTACTATTATTACTGGGCTGAGAACATCTAAAGGATCAAATATTTTGAAGGAATTTGACATTATAAAACGTTTCGTTATAGGTACATCTGGTTCCTGTGTCACCCTTATAGGAAAATGTAAAGTGTCGCTAGAGGGTTTCCATCCAAGACCAAGAGTACTCGAAGACTCGCTGATAGTTAGACTGTCTTGCTTGTTTATGTCAAGGTTATCAAATACATACGGATGATTGCTCTTATATTTTCGAAGATTAAAACAACCTAATTTTAATGCATTGGATACTGACTTTTGTATGTAAATTAATTGCTGAGGATCATCAGCTCCTGTTATTAAATCATGCACACAAAATCATTTTGGATGATGGTTTTGATAAGTTCATCATCTTGTTCCTGTCCTAGCTGCCACAAACTTCGTATACTGAGGTAACTTGCGCTTGCTGTGCCATAGGTTAAGGTATTTAAGACCAACGTTTGGATGGGGCGTGACTCGTCCTCTCTCCACAAAATTAGCTGCAAGTTCCTATCACTTTTGTTAACAAGCACCTGCCTATACATTTTTTCCACATCTCCAGTGAGGAGGAACTTGTATTGCCTTGCCCGAATTAAGATGGAAAAGAGAGTGTCTTGGACATTGGGGCCTACCATCAAAATTTCATTCAATGAGTAACCTGATGTCGAAGAGGCTGAACCGTCGAATACTACGCGGAGCTTGGTAGACTCGCTCTCTTGACGTATGACCGCATAATGACACAAGTAGTACGCTGGGCGAGGGAGAGGTGAACTATTATAGTTAGAAAAAGAGAGATGCCCTAATTCTGCATATTCTCTTATGAATTCTGTGTATTCAGATTTAAGGTTTGGATTACGCTTGAACCGTTTTTCTAAATTAATGAATCGTTTTTTCGCAAGATTGTAGCTATCACCTAAACAATCAACTGATTCTTTCAAAAGTAATTTGACACAAAACATACCTTCTTCATCTCTTATGGTATTAGCAAGAAAGTGCCTTTCACACTCGCTTTCATCTTCACTTATGATTGACTTTTTCGGAGCTTCTTCTAACTCCCAAAATTTAGAAACTAACTGTTCTATATTTTCATTTTGCTATGAAGAGACAATGGCGTTATTACAGTGCATCAGTTTATCCTATTACTAGATACTGCTGAATTTATAGGGCCAGAGATTATCCAACATAACTGTGAACTCCTTAACTTAGGATTGTTTGGTCCTAAAGAACGTTGTTCGTTGCCTAGAATGTCCCAGAAGAGATCAGCACCTATTAGTACATCAATGGGAGCTGGCTAATATAACATGGGGTCAGCCAACTGAATATTTTCTGGTAATTTAATTGACTTGATGTCAACCGGCGTCTTTGGTAAACGACCGGTGAGCTCATTTAACACAAAACACGATAACATTGCACTGAAATTACTAATTGCTACTATCAATTGAATATCACAACTTTCAAGTACATTCATTGAAGAAGTGTTGCCTATACAAATGACCTTTAGTGTGTCAATGTGGCGAGACTTTAATGACAGTCTGGTCTTTAGGGACTCAGATATAAATGTCGATTGGCTTCCGCAATCTAAAAGATCACGAACTATGACCATTTGATGATCAACTGGATTCGATATTTCAATGATAGCAGTAGATAATAACACCTGATTTGTATTGTGATTATAATAGTTAACGATGATTTCATTTTCATCTCGTTCATCAATGAGAGCGAGGTGGCTTGAGGAGGATGATGGGCGATGGGGCAGACTATTGTGACGCTCGGTGCAGCCGCGCTCACGGCATGGACCCATGCGACACTCGCTTTCGCGGTGACCTTGTCTCAAACAATTAACACACAATTTATACTTCGTCACGTCCATCATTCGCTCGTCAACCCCCTTCTCCTTAAACGTTGGACAATTATATATCCTATGACTCTCATTGCAAATAATACACATAAATGTAGTATTTGGTTTCTTGCTATAATTATTGCTGGTGCTCGCAAACGATTTTACGACATTGCTTTGATTTTGATCTTGCCTTTGAATATAATTATTATTAGCTATAGAACGCACAGGGGCACTGGTCACCTTTGACACGCTAGTAACGTCAGACCGATTATTACGATAAATGACTCGAGCACATCAGCACGGTCTATCATAAATTTATAAAATTGTTCAAGGGTAGGTACGTCGCTTTCCAAATTGTTGCGATATTCCTCCCATTTTAACAACGTATTGATATCTAACTTACATGATAACATAAATATTATTAGTACATCCCATTTGTCAGTGGGTTGTCCTAGGCTTTTTAAGACGCGCAAATTTTTGGTCACGTGGTCAACCAAAAATCGTAGAGATCGCTCTGATTCCCGTGGAAGCTGTTTAATATTAAATAATAATGTTAAATGATGATAAATCAATATTCTTTTGTTGTCGTATCTATTGCAAATCATCTTCCACGCTTCAGCATAATTGTTGGTTGATACCTCCAAATTTGAAATAATCCTGGCCGCGTCGCCTTGCAAATAAGAAACGAGGTAATGGAATTTATGGATGTTTGATATGCGATCGTTCTTATGTATCAGATTTTCAAAAGTATCCCGAAACTCCAACCAACGGAAATATGCACCATCAAATTTAGCTATTTGAATTTGAGAGAGTTTCAACCCTAATTCGTGGGGGTGATTAGGATTATTTATGCAACATGACGCGTTGTGACCAGAATTGCGCCTTTTTTCGCATTCTAATTTTTTAAAGAATTTTTCGACTAAAGTTTTTGCCTTTGCTATATTCATAATTATATCTTGTTCAATTATATCGCGTTTCTCAATTTCAGACGAAATATTTTCATAATTGAAAACCTCTACTTCACTCTGCAAATCATCAACCTTCATAGACAAAGCTTCAAATTTAGTGAGTTTTAAATGTAACTCCGTTAATTGAACGTTGTTTAGTTCCATTAAACAGGAAATGCTATTTAAATTATTTTTAAATTTTGTAATTTGCCCCTTGGCGGACGTTTTTCTAGTGATTGAATCACGTAAACTTTGTTTATTCATTTCTTCTGTCATAAAATATGATACTTACGAACAAACAACAACAAAACAATATAATTTAAGCTTTCCTTTTTGGTAGTCAGTTAAATAATTATTGATTTTCTTTATTGAAATAGCAATGAAATTCCTGCGTTATTCAATTGAAATGGCTCACGTTCCTCGTCTGGTGGTACTTGCCGCTCAGGAAACCTGGATGCGCCCGCTCAACGGTTCGCTCCCGGCCGGTGCAGCAGCCGCGGCCGGCCAATTAAGTTTACAATAACGAATGTTCAAAATCTGAATACCAATGTGTTTTTAAATGGGGAGGAATTGAGCCCTGTTGTATCCACTGTTTTTCTTGGCATCACTCTTTACGCAAAGCTCCAGTGGGGCCCCCATATATCCATATTAGCAAGCAGATTAAGTTCTGCAGCCTATGCTGTAAAAAAGATTAGAGGTCTCACTAGTGTCGAGACAGCTAGATTAGTTTATTTTAGTTATTTTCATAGCATAATGTCTTATGGGATTTTGCTATGGGGAAATGCGGCTGATTCAGAAACTATTTTTGTTTTACAGAAGAGGGCCATTAGAGCTATTTACAATCTAAAACCGAGAGAGTCTCTTAAAGATAAATTTAAAGAAATTAATATATTAACTTTGGCCTCTCAGTATATTTACAAAAATTTAATGTATGTTCACAAAAACAAAGATAGTTTTAGTAAAAGAAGTGATATACATTCTGTAAACACTAGGAACAAACACAAGCTAGTGATACCAGTTTCTCGACTCCACAGAGTCAGAAATTCATTCTTGGGGCAATGTATACGCTATTACAACAAGGTCGCGGAAAGTGTACAGGTTCTCTCTATTACCAAGTTTAAATGTTTTATTAAGCTGAAACTGTATAAAAAGGGTTATTATAGTATAAATGAATACATGGTTGATAATAACCCCTGGGAATGAGGTGATCGCTTCCAAGCAGTTTCTGAAATAAATTTTGTAAATAGTTCGTAATCATTTATATTGTAAAAGTTATTTAAAAAAAAGGTCCCGCTGGGTTTCTTGCTAGTTCTTCCCAGGACAGAGGGTTTTTTTCGAACCAGTGGTAAAGTAAAAAATGACTTTCAATAAGAATTACACGTGTAATGTATATTGAATAAAAAATATTCTATTCTATTCTATTCTATTCAATGTAATCCAACGGGATGAGTATGTACTTGCAAACGGCGCACGGCGATGATAAATATTAGCCTGGAATATTCGGCAAATACGCTAAATATTGTATGTATAAACCATACGAAACGAGAAAACCTAAAATACGAAACCAACGTTACTTCGTAAAATAATTTAACTTTATATCAATATAATACCTTTTAATACTTTCATTGACCTATTTTACGGAATAGTGAACATACAATTGAATGATTTATGTAATAATTTAGATAATATTGCGATAAATAGCTAAAAGCTAATTCCTTTGTTAACTTTTTTATACATACGGGTAGGTAAAAAAATGATGATGCAATTTTGTACTAAATAACAAATTTACGTGCGTAAAACGCTGTACAACTTGTTTAAAAACACTTAATTTACACAAATGACGAACGATTTCGAATATTATTTTGTTAGTTATTAGGTTTTTTAGGAATTAGTTAAGGAAGGACACTTATCTTAGCGGACGAGCTCGTAACTGCTCGATGTGAAACTTTAGCTGATTCACTGTTCGAATCTTCTTTATTTTTCTGCTTCCAATACAGCCCGTGATTTTAGAAATATCCACTGCAAGGCTCGATCCACAAGAATGATTTGATATGATGTTGAAGATCGTTAGGTCGCTGCGCTAACCGGTGTTTCGTCATATTTACGTATTAATTGTTATTATTTCGCGGATTCTTCTTTGTTCCCCTCATAGGCCACCATGTTCTATCTTTAGCGGATAGATGGTGTAAATTAAATGCCCAGATACTTAATAAATTAATATAATTCAAAAAAGCATGTGAATTGCACAATGATCGTAGGTCAAGTGACATGAGTAGACAGATTTGTATGAAGAATCTTCAAGCGCCTGATGCGGGTGACGGCAATGTTCCCGCGATGGTGTTTTGGCGTAATATTTGCGCAGGCGTTAAGTCTGAACATTATTTTTATTTTTATTTATTAAGGTTTACCAATTTTTGATTACACTGTATTTAACAAAATGGAACTAACTTATATAGCTAAGTGTAACAATCGTTTAAGTTAAACACAACATGCACAGAGAAAGATGATAAATACGAATAAAAAGAAGTATAATTACCTAATTATGAAAAAAAGTACATGGCATACATAAAATAAGTTTCTTTGTTGGTTTCAGACCAAGCTAAAACTAGAACTTACTTAATTTTGGCAAATGAGTCGACGTGAATGTCAACTAAGGCATTATGTCCATTGACCAATTTACACAACCTTGGAATTGGGGAGTTTGCGCCTAAGACAGATTTCCTAAAGGGAAAAGCGGAATGGCAAAGCGGAATAATGGGAGCGCGAGGAATTCTCAATGGAACACTAAATTTAAATTTTTAGAGCAATGGGGACAGTTAATTAATTGGTTAAAAATTTTAACAAGAAATGACATGTAAAGGAAATTTCTCCGATTTTCCATTGATTAACATTTTAAAGAGTCTTAATCGTTTTTTGTAAGACCGAATTTTTTTGTGAAGACGCACTTGTCCGACGGCAGAGATAAGTAAGAGGTAAGTATCCAGTTGGACTATTAGAACTTAGAACTTAGAACGTCGCCGAACTGGTTATTTAGAATTTGAGAAATAATTATGATTATCTGACTTACCTTGACACCTGACTTATCTTGATGATTTGACTGCCTCGTTGGGCAAGCGGTGTAAACGCAACTGCTGATCATGAGGTCCCGAGTTCGGAAACCGGGTCAATCCAAAAAAATCAGTTATTGTGTTTTTTGTCCACAAATTCTCAGTAGCTATCCGAAGTCAAGAAGTTAGCGGTGTTTAAACCCCGTGCCTCGGAAATCACGTAAACTGTAGGTCCTACACTTGATCTCTCTGCGGCTGTGTCGGTTTACCGTCTCATCGGACTATGAGAGTGAAGGAATAGAGAGAGTGCACTTGTACATGCACATACACTTGGGCACTCTAACGAGTGTATAATTACAAGATTTAATTTAATATCGTGCCTTATGTTGCCTTAACATGTTTTAAAATTACGACATTATTTATATAACGATAAATTTTATCCAGTCACTAAAAGCCAAACAATAAATCACATTTAAGAACGAATAGATCCGGCCTTTCATACGGACCCGCAACGTGATTGATATCCACTGATCGATTATTAGTGTTGATAAACTGTTGCAAGGATTTAGTTTGAGATTAAATACGTGTATTTATCTTAACGCTTCGTCCGTCTAAATGTATATATAATAACTGTTACCATTACAGCATATCAAAGGTCCATTTCCAAACATAGGCCTCCCTCATAGATATCCTTATAGGGTGGATATTTGCCATAGTTCTTACGCATGGCTGGCGCGTTGGCAACCGCATTTTTTAGTTTTTATTTGTTTAAGGAAGATGCTAGCGCTTTACTTCTATCCCACCTGATGGTAAAGGATCGCCCTTTACCATCAGGTGGGCCAAGATGCAGCCAAAGATGGGAAAGCGCACTGATTTAAACAAAGCGTATTTTGTCTTGCCTTGAAGATGCCCCGTTTATAATCAAATAAAAGGCAGATTCTAGCAACTTAATTAATTATTTTAGTGTACGCATTGGGCATCTTTTGGTTTGTTTCTCTCTTTCGCCTTTTACCACACACGAGACGATTATAAAATAACTTGGGTTATAAAATAACTTTTCCTTCATGATTCTATTTTTATCACAAAATATTCCTGTGATACTAATATTCAATTCACTGTTACAACTATTAACACTATTATACTAATATTATATTTGGTTTCACTTTATACTAAAAATGTATTAGGCGTACATTGTGAGCAATCATCCAGAAAATTTATAGTTAAATTATTTCATAAAGATTAAACCTACGTCATGAGTTCAAGTACGTGAACAGCTTCAAGAAAAACACTTATGACGCCATTAAACCCTTTTAAACCCAAAAAATTAAAAATAACTTCCTGGGAAAAGCAAAGGCTAGAATAAAGAAGGTGACATATGAAAACTTGTTTTCAACAAAATTAACGTATATTATTTGATAATCTGCAGCACTATATCTTTAGAAGCGTATAACTACTCATACCTAAATGTCAGCCTCTTCCATTGTAAAAAGAATTTGTCATAAGGAAGTGTCTATTCATGCTCATTTATTCATATTCATTGTATATTTTTTTATTTATGCGATTATCGTATATATTTTATTCGTCCGATATATTTCAAATATTTTATATTTATAATTTAAATATTTTTAGAAAATTTAATAAAATAAAGTACATAAAATATTAAAAATATATACATATATATATTTGCTTACCCTTACCATGGTGCACCCTAAAGCTGCGTATAATATAATGATGTAAAATATAATATTGAAAGAATGAGGGCTACTAATTTTCTGCTCACCCGATATCGCCAGTTGACACTGAGGTAAAGTTTTTTGTCACACAATGTAATTTTATTGAGAAGTTGGTTTTTAATAAAACTTTATCAGTTTTTAGTGTATTATATTAATACACAAAATATTGCGTCAGTGATTTGCTCTTTAATTATAAGCACATTTTTTAATATTTTTTTTATTTATCTACTTTTATGTACATGTGTTGTTTGGTTTATTTATTTTTAATCCTATTAATATAAAATATAGCCAATAGTCCAGAAAGAAATAATAACTTTTACATTTTCGAACAAATTAACTTACCCGCTATCTGTCAAATATTATGTCGCTCTGGTGACAAAAAAACTCGTGATCGTCATTACACTTTATAATTTTAAAATTATCAGACGATTAAGAATTTTATAATAATACGATAAGCGTACGATTAGTACAAGTCGTTACCATCCATACCATCTGC